CCAGTTTCATCTTCTCTCCACCGTCAGAGGTGCCATCCCGGGGTGGATCCAGGCTTCTGTGTGGACTCGCAGCAAAGAAACCCAGTGTGGCCGGGATCGATCCCCGAAGGGACTAGGCTTTGGGGCCAGGAATTGAAGTGATGGGATCAAAGAAGTAGCCTTAGCAGGGGTCATGGGGGGAGGCAGCTGTACGTGAAGCACATGGTACTGGACCACCTTCTAATGAGTGGTGTATTAACCAGGAATTTGAGAGTCGGGAGTTCTCGTGGGTTGCCTTAGTGTGAACTGGGTCGCTATTGTGCCATCGGCATCTGATAACTGCACGTTCTGAACGGTTTACTTCCTAGGTGAACGTTCCTAAAACCCGCCGAACTTTCTGTAAGAAGTGTGGCAAGCATCAACCCCACAAAGTAACACAGTACAAGAAGGGCAAGGATTCTCTGTATGCGCAGGGTAAGATGGTCTTTTGCACGGGATTTGGTTTGAATGTGGCATTTGTGTAGTATAAATACACAAGCCAGACCCCCCTCTCCCCACTGCTTGGGCATTGATATTTCTTTTGGAAAACCCAAGATAAAGCCGTGAGACTTTTTTATGTGACTATTGTGAATTGTTGACTTTGGCACAATGTAACGAGTAACTTCTCCCAGGAAAGCGGCGTTATGACAGGAAGCAAAGTGGCTATGGTGGGCAGACTAAGCCTATTTTCCGAAAAAAGGTGAGTAGTAATTACTATTTGACTTATTTCCCACTGACTGTGGTAAAGACCTTGCGTTTGTTGTTAACCCACACACCTCTACAATATAGGTATGTGTTTTCATAGTTTCAGCGAAGTTATCTCAGTCACTGTGTAACATACCTATTAGACAGTGGAGTGCAACAACTTAAGGTTTGTCTACAATACTGCACCATTGCAATATATACTTTGTTTCTTGATTCGAGAGTGAGATAGAGAAACATTTTTTTTTTTTCCTCACTTACTTTGGCATTCATTGGTTGGTTTTTTAAAGATATATTTTTATTGCCCTAGCTGGTTTAGCTCAGTGAATAGAATTTTAGCCCGTGGACAGAAGGCTCCTGGGTTCCATTCCATCAAGGAAGGGCATGTACCTCCGGTTCCCCCGCCCAGGTTCTGGTAGAAACAAATGCATATGTGTTTGTCTTTCCTTCTCTCCCCAACTCTTAAAAAAACAAATCCAATGGAAAAATATATTTGTGTGAGGATTAAAATATGAAACAATATCTACTTTATTGATTTCAGAGAGGAAGGGGGAGGGAGAGATAGAAACATCAATGATGTGAGAGAATGTTTGATTGGCTGCCTCCTGAACGCCCCCGACCGGGAATAAGTCCACAATCCGGGTATGTGCCCTGACCAGGGATCCAGCCTGACCTTGGCATATCCTGGCGACATGCTAATCAACTGAACGATCATCAGGCCAGGGCTACAGTGTTTATATTTTTTGTCCTTCCCTTTTTGGAGAGACAGACAACAAGGTAAGGGAAGTTTTCTGCCCTTCTAAGTACTGAAGTTGGAATATACCGGTAAATCCTTTGCCATTTCTGTCATGGTCCTAGTGAATCCTCAGTTCTTGTTGGCAGTAAGAATATTCTTTTGCTTCTGGGCTCAAAAGCCTGCAATGAGTGCTATTTATCTCATGAAGTCAAACGCGGCAGACTTCTCAGGCTGAATGTGTTTCTGTTTTTTACTCCAGGTGATTTGGCTATTCTTAAAGTACAAACAGTGCCCAGAACAGCATTCCCGCGGTGTTTTGGCACTTTGCTCTTCCATTTAGCCTGGTTCCAGAGTATTAAGGAATGACTTTAGTGTTCATTTAGGTGCAGTAAGTGATTTGATAGCTACGTGATGAAAGGAATAATTGCCTTTTCACATTTAGGTGACTTGATTAGAAGATGGAGAGGTTCTACCTAGGTTTTGGAATTTTTGAGAACTGCAAAACTAGCAACGGAATTCTGACAACAGGAGCAGGCTTAAAAAGTTGAGTGTTTATGGGGAGTGTACTTTGAGTTAAATACTACAGTTGAATAGACAAATTCTAAATGTAATTATAGGTATTCTCCAGAGGCTTGATAGAACTTATGTAACAGTTCTTAACTCTAAAGAATTGCAAAAGTTGTTTTTAAAAGTGCATGAATTAGGATGACCTGTTTTTGATTGTCCAGAATACATAAATATATGAAGCTGTAGAACAGTCACAAGTGCCTCTTTGATAAGAAGTCCTCTAAGATGCCTGATGTGAATGGAGAACTTGATGGCAATTATTAACTTTCCACCTTTGCAATTATTTTCTCTCTTAAATACATTGGATTTCACATTTGTTTTCTCTCTATAGCCCAAGACAAATTAAGGTAGTTAACCCGATGAAGTCATCTTTTTGAAGAAATATTTTTTGCAGTGATTTATGAAGAGTATCACTTCATTTTTTCCAGGCTAAAACTACAAAGAAGATTGTGCTGAGGCTTGAATGCGTTGAGCCTAACTGCAGATCTAAGAGAATGCTGGCTATTAAGAGATGCAAGCATTTTGAACTGGGAGGAGATAAGAAGAGAAAGGTATACAATTTGGGGTGGGATGTGTAATCTTTCCTATATAGCTTTATTTGGAGAGGCATTTCTGCCCACTCATTTACTGTGGCATCAAAATCAGAGGCGCACTCCCTTCAAAATACTTGATCCATAGCTGAATGTGTACGGTTTTTGGTGTTTGGCATGAGTAAGAAGGGGAGTGAGATTTACAAGATTTTTAAAAAATATTCTTTAAATTGATTTCAAAGGGGGAGAAACATTGGTGATAAGAATCATTGATTGGCTGCCTCCTAAAAGATCCCTAGTAGGGGGCCAAGCCTGCAACCCGGGCATGTACCCTTACTGGAGTTGAACCACTGAGCCACACCACAGCGGGGAAGGGGGAGAATGGGAATTATCAGGAGTAGACACTTGATGGAACAGAGGTTCATTACAAGAGAAAAACTCACTTTTTTCTCCCTTTTCTATTGCAGGGTCAAGTGATCCAGTTCTAGAGCGTCATATTTTGTTTTATTATATGACAATAAAATCATGATATATTAACTTCATGTGGTTGCAGTTGGTCTATTTGGGAAGGTAGTAAACTAGTGTTCCACAAGGGGAAATTCAAGCTTATTGGTTTTGGGTACTTGGCTCATTTTGGTTGAACTCAAATCAGATGTTGTAATGGCTTTTTAGTCACTTGGGGCTTCATGGGATCCCTTTTGCTGTTATTATTGGTATCCGTAGTGAATGTTGAGCTTACCAAGTGAAATAATTTGTCTCACATACTTTTATGAGTTCATTTTTTTTAATCCTTGGATGTTTTTATTGAATAGAGGAAAAACACCGGTTGCTTCCTGTATAGAATTTGGGCCCTGTTCTCTAGGCATTACATGTCTTCAGGCTACTCATACCACCCAAACATTTTGATAAACCTAGCCCTTTCAAACTTTTTAAAAAGATACATTTTAATTAATTTTAGAGAGAGAGAGAGAATCATCAGTGCCTGGTACATACATGCCCCAACAGGATTGAGCCATGCTGGCTGCCCCCACACTCTTCCCCCCCCCATCTCAAATTTATACAAATTCTTTTCATGATGCAAAGAACATAATTCCTAGTGAATTAAAATCCTAAATGGAACCTAGCAGTTAAAATCCATTGTTTAAATTGCCTAACCGTTTCAAATTCAAATCCCTTTCATATTTGTGTATTATGCTCTTGGTAATAAAGGATATCCAGTGACAGATATTGGTCAGATCATCAAACCTCAGAGGGAAAGTAGGGAAGGGTTAAGTAAGGGGAAATCAACCAAAGGACTTGTATGCAATGCATATAAGCCTAACTAATGGACATAGATACCAGGGGGGTGAGGGCACATGCAATACCTTAAAAAATAAAGGATCTAGCTTATTTTTACCTGTGCAGTAAAACTGGATGACAAATTACTTTGGCAACTGGAAGGGCATCTCAGTGAGATGGAGCAATTTGCTTTCAAACTTATATACTTTTATTTTTTTTTTAAATATTTTTATTGATTTCAGAGGGAGAGGGACATAGAAATATCAATGGTGAGAGAATCACTATCAGCTGCCTCCTGCATGAGCCCTACTGGGGATCGAACCTGCAATCCAGGCATGTGCCCTTGACCAGAATCAACCAGGGACCTGGCCCTTCAGTCCCCAGGCTGACAATCCATTGAGCCAAATTAGCTAGGGCTGCTTCCAAATTTATGTATCTGGATGACTGTCATGGTTCACCAATTTCATTGCAATTTTTATCAGCTGACAATGATTAGACTTCCAATTTTTTTTAAATCCTCACCTGAAGATATGCTCACTGATCCTAGAGTGAAACAGAGATGTGACAGAACATGAATTGTTTATATTCTGTATATGCCCTGACCCCATACAGAATATGAACAGCAACCTTGGTACATGGGACCATACACCAACTGAGCCACTGGCCAGAACAGTCTTGAAATTTAATTACTTGGCGGGCAAAGGAATGGTTAAAATATACTTTAGGCCTTTTGCACCATTGGTTTCTGTAGTGAAATTTTTACCTGGGCATGTGTTTTGACGAGGAATCCAACCAGTAATCTTTTAGTTCATGGGAGGATGACCAACCAACTAAGCCACACTGGCCAGGGCTGTAGTGAAATTTTATTCAGGTAAATCAAAGAATAGGTGAAGTGAGGATGGAAGAAAAGGACAGAGGTGTGGTTGTCATTGGCAAAAAAAATAAATAAAATAATACGATTTTTTAAGGAAGCTTTTTTTTTTTTTTGGCCTGGCAAGGGAGCTCAGTTGGCTAGAGCATCATCCAGGTAAGCCAAGGTTGTGGGTTTGATCCCCATCAGGGCACATGCCCAGAATCAACCAATGAATGCATAATTGAGTGGAACAACAACTTGATGTTTCTTTTTCTATCTCTCTAAGAAAAATCAATAAAAGTTTTTAAGGAAGCTTTTAAAATGTAGTCTGGCTTATTTGTAGCTGAAGCAAAACGGTGCCTGTGGGATTTATTCGAGTTTTGACATATGAAGTCCATTCATAAAACCCAAGCTTTGTCTTCACAGGGAGGAGCTCTGTGATATGACAAGCAGGATTACAGGCCATTCCTTGACCCAGAGAAGCAAGACTGATGGTGTAAGAACGAGGTCCACCAATCTCCTGCAGGTTTACCACAGCCACAGCCCAGGCTAAATTCGAGAGAGGGCGTTCCCATATCTCAATGCTGTCTTCCTGAAAAGCAAGCCAAGAAAATAGGTGTGATAACTCGGTAACTAGCAGTAAGCTGCCTTGTAGCATTCAGTCTTACTGTCAGAACTACCAAACACTTCCAGGAAAAATTAAAATTATCTTGTAGCATGTTTGGGAACTAAAGTAATGATTATAGCAAAAAAAGCTTACCGTATTTTCCGGCGTATAAGACGACCCCCTAATTTTACAGTTAAAACATAGGTTTGGGCCTATATTCGCTGTATAAGACTACCCCCCACTTCCGAGGCAACACCAGTTCTTTTTTTAATAGACCGCCTCTCTGACTCTGGCCAATCTGAGCAGGTTTTTTTTCGTTTCAAAAGTCGTCTTATATGCCGGAAAATACAGTAATTACTGATTATTATTGAGATTAAAAAATATATTCACAAAAGATCAGTGCATATCTTAATATATAACAGATTTAGGCCCAAGACAAAGTTGGCATTTGAGTATAAAGCCATCTTAAAATACATAACCCAAATAAACATTTAGATGAATTTTATTATTTTTTTAATCCTCATCTGAGGATATTTTCCCATTGATTTTCAGAGACCGTAGAAGAGAATGGCAAAGAGAAAGAGAGAAAGACAGATAAATATCAATGTGAAAGAAATACATTCATTGGATGCCTCCTGTACACACCCAACCAGGGATGGCTGGGGAGGGGCCTGCAACCGAGGTATGTACCCTTGAAGGGAATCGAACCCATGACCCTTCAGTCCGCAGGCCAACACTATCCACTGGGCCAAACCGGGCAGGGCCATTTGGATGAATTTTAAACTAGAAGGCAAGAGAACATATTCTTGTCCAATTCCTATTTTCTTCTGGAGAACATTTACTATACCTTTCTCAGAAGGTACCCCTGCTTGCCCAAGGGGTCCTGGTTGATGGCAATTACATCCTTATCCTGTAGGAGGGTTTTGGCTTGAGAGCTGATCTGTCGGAGGTCATTGGACATGAGTAATGGAGCTGCCATAATCGCCCAGAGGGCCATCTGCGTTACCTGCTGATCCCAGCTGAGGCCAAAGTTGCCAATCACTAACTGGGACAAAGAGTGAAATTAGAATTCAAATGAGAGAAGACAAACATTCTTAAAGTTATCTAGACACAGAAGCCACTTTCTGTGGCACTCCGCTTTGAGTACTCTCACATAAAGGCTGCTCCAAGCAACTTGCCAATTTACCTTGAATGTCAGTAGGAAACAGGCCCACTGCAGGGGTTTGAACACAGAGGAGTCGGGTTCTTACCATATCTGGGTCATTCCAACCCCCAGGTCCTGCAGCTCTAACAAGTGTCTGCTGGTTAGCTGAGGTCCAGGCCAAAATAGTCTTTATACTTTGCCAAGAATCATAAATGTCTCCAAAATTTCTCCAGTGATTACAGTATCGTCGGATTTCTGTATAATTGGGCTGTGAAAAGAGATACTGTAACTCTTCTGCTTACTTTCTAATAACATTTTTGAGAGATGAAAATAGTCAAGTTTAAAGGAAGAACTTGTAGCCTTCTCTTTAGTTTATAGCTTAAAAGTCTCCACTGACGAGAGCTAAATCCTTATTATAATGGATCTTCACTGTAAAAATTTTGCTTCAGAATTAGGCCATTTAACTTAAAATTTCTACTTAAAATGGCTTAAACAATGTTTATGCTGGAAATTTACCAATGGTAACTAAGTACTGGGATTATGGAGGATTGACACTTTTTTTACACTTCACTATTTTCAAACTTCTAAAATTAACATGTACTGAATAACATTTAAAATAACAAATAACCTAATAAGTAAAAGCAGTTGAAAAATTACGTAGAACTCATCAAACATAAAGCAATCTAAATCCTAGGCATATAATTTTTAACAGAACAAATACATGTTTGTAAATAGGCACATGGGATATCCAAGGTTTAAGATGTTGAAGAGAAAGGTGAAGACTATTTTAGAGATTAGAAAGAAATAACAGCCCTAGCCAATTTGGCTCAGTGGATATAGCATTGGCCTGAGGACTGAAGGGCCCTGGGTTCAATTCTGGTCAGAGGCACATGCCTCCATTGTGGGCCCTGGTCAGGGTGCATGCAGGAGGCAACCAATGGATGTTTCTCTGTCTCCCCCCCGAGCCCTGCCCCTTGAAGATTAATAACAACAAAAAAAGAAATAACAGGGATTCATCCTATAAATAATTATTCAACACTTACCATATGCTAGTGATAAAGTCAGACAATGTCCCTGCCCTCCTGGAGCTTATATTCTAGTGGGGAGACAGACAGTAAGTCAGTTAACATATAATTCTACATGGTGCTAAGGTCTTTGATGGAAACTAAGAAACTAAATAGGTTAATGTGATAAAGAATGAATGGATAGAGCACTATTTAAAATACAGATATATTAATTTCAGACAGGGAGAGAGAAACATCAATGAGAGAATCATTGATCAGCTGCCCCCTGCATCTCCCACACTGGGGATTAAGCCCAAAACCCAGGCATATGGCCTGACAGGGAGTCGAACAACCTCCTGGTTCATAGATTGATGCTCAACCACTGAGCCACACTGGCTGGGTTAGAGCACTATATTTTTATAAATATATTTTAAAATTTCTTGCCTGAGGGTATGTTTTCTTTAATTTTAAAGAGAGGAAGGGATTGGTGGGGGGAGAGATGGGGTTGGTGGAGGGAGAAATCGGTTGCCTCCCATGGTGCAGGGATCAAACGTGCAATGTAGTGTTTGTGCCCTGACTAGGAATCAAATCTGCAACCCTTTGTTGTATGGGACGATACTCCAACCAACTGAGCCACCTGACCATGGCAGGATAGAGCACTCTTTTAGAGTAGTTAGAGAAGATCAGTCTGAGTGTGTGGTATCTGGTATGAGACCTCAATGTTAAGGAGGAGCTTAGAAATCTTGGGAGACCATACCAGGCAGAAAACGATAAGCAATAGGCCCTGAGGCAGCAACAGGCTTGGAGTGTTTGGGGGACAGAACGAACACCAGTGCAATGAGGGCGAGTGATGGGGAATGGGGTTGGAGAGATAGTCCAGGGCAGATCAGTGGGGTTTGGTTGTATTCCAAGTGCAATGGGAAGCCCGTTAAGGATTTTAAACAGGGGAGTGATGTGATTCCACTTAACATTTTAAAAAATATATATTTTATTGATTTTTTACAGAGAGGAAGAGAGAGGGATAGTCAGTTAGAAACATTGATCAGCTGCCTCCTGCAAACCCCCCCACCGGGGATGTGCCCGCAACCACAGTACATGCCCTTGACCAGAATCGAACCCGGGACCTTCCAGTCCGCAGGTGGACGCTCTATCCACTGAGCCAAACTGGTTTCAGCTCCACTAACATTTTAACAAGGATACTTTGGTGCTGCTGGAAAAATGGTTGGGGGTTGGTGGAGAGTAAGTGAGAGGGGAGGTTGTTGGGAGCATTTTGGGTGAGTGATGATGATGGTGGCTTGAAAGACAAAGATGGATGCAGCAGAGATGGAAAGAAATGGGATGATTCAGGATTTATTTTGTAGATAGTACTGATAGGATTGCTGATGAACAGATTGTGAATCATAAGACAAAGGGAAAAATCAAAGATGACTGACTTCCCAAGTGGTGGCAGCTTAGACTCCAATTGGAGCAGTGAGGATGATAAGAAGTGACTGGGTCCTGGGAGAGATGGTGGGATGAGACTGTTCAGTAAGGTGGGACTTTGAAGGAGACCTTTGTTCTCAAGTCGTGAAAACCCATCCCCAAGGCTCTGTTAAATTCTGGAGTCACTAGCTCACCTTGTGAAAGGGCCACATATAAAGGGGCCACTCACAGGAGTACACAATGCTTCTGCCGGTCTTGTTCAGGGCCAAGGACATGTGCTTATAACCTGAATGAGAAAACAATGGGTAAAATAAGGGGAAGAAAGAGACTTCCAACAGGGGCTGCCCTGAAGGGCCATGTTTATATTTTAAACCAGCAGCAGAGACAGGTAGCTTCTCTGTATTGAAATCGTGTCTAATACCTCCCACACAGCTAGAGCTGTTCCGAGGATACAGTGCGGGATGGTGCATATATTGAGGAAAGGCAGTCATGAAGATGCCCCTTTCTCTGTGACTGACATTCTAGATGCTTTCCCAAATTATGTTACAGAGTTAGAATTACTACTTGTAATTAACTCAGACCCCCCTTTAATTAAAAGTGCACAGTATTAACTGTGGTTAATGGACAAACTGAAAGAGAGAGAGTAGCTCTGGCATATTGAGAATAATTATTTCCAATACTGTGACTGGGTACTTAAAATGGGGAGATTAGTTCTGTGGATACCCAGTAACCGTGGCTTCAAAGTTCTTCTCTTTGCTCATGGCTAAATCTCTTGAGTGAAACATACCATTTGCCAACTCTTCCACAGAGTCACAGTAACAACCATCAAATTTTAGCAGATCTACGCCCCAGTCGGCAAAGGTCTCAGCATCAATGTTATAGTGTCCCAAACTCCCAGGGTATCCTGCACAGGTTTTTTCCCCAACATCTGCATAAATTCCTAGCTTCAGTCCTTTGCTATGGACCTGAAATGAGAGGAAAGAGTCACCGCAGTAGGAGTGCAATCATGAAGCAAAGAGAACCACTCCATGCTGTGGGAAGAGACATACACTTCACCAGGTACTGGGGGCATTTATTTCACAAGTCCCCAAAATTATGTAAATGAGTTTATTGGGAGACAAAGAGCAAATTCTCCAATTCTGCTGAGTTCAAATTCACATGTAAGCTATAGCATAGAACTGAAGAGAAACTTATCAGCCACTCTAATCTCTCCCCGATGGGAATCTAAAAGTTACCTTTCCAGGGCAATGATATCTGGACAGTCTCTCCTTGACCAATCCTTGGTTAGGCTCCTCTAAGCTCTCTTCTCAAGTAGGCTTCAACTTTGTCAGTCAGAGTCCACTCTTAGCAAGAATCCTAGTGAGTCTTCCTCCTACTCTTGATATATGATCAAGTTCCTTATCTTCCACCCTTGATGTGTAAATCCTTGGCCTATTTTCTTAGCCAGAATCCCTTAATCATTTTCCATCCAATGATCCTCTCACTCTTCTTTTTGGCTACAAATCCCCACTTGTCTTTGTTATATTCAGAATTGAGCTCAGCTCCCTCCCTCAACAGTACTAAATAAAACGTCTTCATTGCCTTTAACTAATGTTTGGCACATTACTTTTAAAAATCTTTAGCAAGTATTCCTCCTATCTTCTAAAATTCTAGTTTACAGTAAAATTACAATACTGCTCAAAGTTTATATGGAAATATATGCACACATATGTCAAGAACCAAGTTCCTTTTTCTTCCCAGAGAATTTGGCTGTTTCAGCAAAAGGAGAACTTAAGATGGGCCTCAAGAAGTGTTGCAAAATATATATCTGCTGACAGATGAAAATTCCACCTGATAAGCCTTACAATCCAATCTTCAGATAACGGCAGCTATTTTATTCTCTAAGTGTTTTTGAACAAGTTTCCATACCGAAGTATTTGGTCTCCTAAATGAAAAAGAAAATTATCTATAAACTCACATAATTAGATAGATGGCGGATTCCACTTGGAAAGCGTTTAGGGTCTGCCTGAAGTCTGTGTTTTGAGTCTCTTTGGGGAGCCATCCAACAGTCATCAATACAGATGTACTCATATCCCACTTCCTTCCAGCCTTCTGAGGCCATGATATCTGCCATCTGCATGAAGAGCTTCTCACTGAAAGAGAAATTCCAAGAATCATTACAATTAATTAAACAAATGCTTGGGTACTTCCTGTTTGTTAGGTACCTTGGGGCTTTCAATTTTTTTCAACCCAGTAATAGTTGGGTAGTAATCACAATCAAAGCAAGTTAAAATGGACTGAGCCTTTTTCCTTCTCCCTGCCCCTACTCTTAATACTTGTACCCTAAGAACCCTGAACAATTAAAAGAGGAATGTGCAATGCAAGAAATTGAGAAGGTTATTAGAAACTAGAAAGTGATATTTGATATATAAATGTTATAACCAATATACAGCAAGAACCACCATATTCACAACATATGATAGATAAATACAAAGTATCATCCCAAATGCAAAAAATATTCCAATTAAAAAATAGGGGACTAATACAAATAGGTATAATCAACAGCTTCCTTAGCTATTAACAATAACCTAGCTAGAGAAAAAGATACCATTTTTAAGAGCAACCCAAAAAACAACAGGAAAACCTAAGATTCAATTTTGCTCTTGAATAAGAAACTCAATATTAAAAAGAAGCTAATTCTAGCTGAAACCGGTTTGGCTTAGTGGTAGAGCGTGGGTCTGCAGACTGGAAGGTCCCAGGTTCGATTCCGGTCAGGGGCATGCATGTTGGTTGCGGGCACATCCCCGGTAGGGGGGGTGCAAGAGGCAGCTGGTCGATGTTTCTCTCTCATCGACATTTCTAGCTCTCTATATCTCTCCCTTTCTCTCTGTAAATAATCAATAAAATATAAATTTAAAAAAATAAATAAAAGAAGGTAATTCTCCCTAAACTTTATGCTTTTTGGTTAATCCTCCCCTGAGGATATTTTTCCCCCTAGAGATTTTTAGAGAGAATGGAAGGAAATGAAGGAAGGAGGGAGAGAGAAATATCGACTAGTTGTCTCCTGCACGCATGCCCAGACTGGGGGCAGGGAGCAAACCCTCAACCAAAGTATATGCCCTTGACAGGGAATCGAACCCGAGACTCTTCCATGCCCCAGATGATGCTCTAACCACTTTTTTTTTTGATGCTCTAACCATTTTTGCTACACTGGCCAGGGCCCTTTATGCATTTAATAAAACCCTAAACAAATCCCAAAAGGGCTTTTTAAGGAACTTGGCTACATGAGTTGAAAGGTTCACCTAAAAGATTAGACATAATCATTCTGCAAAAAATAAATGAAGCTGGTGTAGTGCCAGTAGCATTAGAATACACAGATCAATGGAATTAAAGAGAATGTTCAGAAAGAGATCCTCCCTGCCATTTGGTACCATGGAATTTAGTTAATATTAAATATGGTATTCTTTATAGGAGATTAAAGGCTAGACACATTAAAGATTTAAATATTTTAAAAATTCATAAACATACTAGTAGAAAACATAGTGACTATATTATTTTCAGGTAGGAAAGTACTTTCTCAGCATTATGCCAGAGTAAGAAATAATAAAGGAAAAAATTTCTATTTGATATATAAATGTTAAAACCAATGTATAGCAAGAACCACCATATTCACAACATATGATAGACAAAAATAAAATATCATCCAAAAAGCAAAAAAACAAAACAACAAAAAACATTACAGTTGAAAAATAAGGAACACAAATAGGCAATCTATAAAAGAAATTGCCAAGAGCCAATTTAACAAATGAGATATTTAATCTCATTACAACTCAAATAAATGAAAATAAAAATACCTAACTGATTGACAAAGTTTTAAAAGAATGACAAAAATGCAGGGTTGGGGGTGTGGCGAAACAGGCATTCTCATACACTGTTGTTGGGAATGTGCATTTGTCAAACTTTTGGTGAGGACAGTTTGTATGTCACAAAATAAGCATATAGTTGGACCCAGTAATTAGGTCATATGGCTAAGTAACAGCAAGCTAGAATTTGAAACTAGGCAAGCAAAGTTCAGAGTCTTGCTAACTCAACATAAACACAATTTCATTTTTATTGAAAATAATGAAAAAAAGAAAGAAATCTGTGATCTGTGTTACTTACTAAAAAACTATTCCAAGACCTTAAATTACCATTTTAATCATGATTACTTCTGGGTGGTGGAATGAGGGGAATCATTTTCACTATACTCTTCTTTACTATCTGCACTTTCTGCATTGATTATACATTAGTTTTATAATCAGATAACAAAAATAAAGACAACCACCACTTAGGAAAAAATGCAAAGAAAAAGAAATATGTGATGGGCACAATTGCTATCCACTTTACCCCAGGGTCACAGTGGACTTTGTCTGAAACTTAGAGGGTCATTAATTCTGTAATGTTTGACCAACATCCTAATTTTATCTGTAAAGCCGGAAAGACATTCATAGGAATAACTTACATGCACTGGGATGTATCATAACCACTGCTTTCAGAGGAGTCTCTGCACCACTGGTGTCTTTATTATATTTCAGAACTATTCTGTTATTAACCAGTGTCATCCCAACAAACAATAAAAAACAAACTGATATGACAGATGGGTACTAGATTTATCAGGGTGATCACTTCATACGTTATATAAATGTCTAATCACTATGTTGAACATCTAAAGTTAATCTAATATTGTGTTAATTGTAATTTAAAAATTTTAAATAAAATACCCCACTATTTTACAGACCCTTCTCCGTCAACTCCCTGAGGTCAGAGTTGTTATTCCCAATTTACAGACAACGAACCTGCGGATCAGATAGGTTGCGGATCAGATAAGTTCAGTACCGGTCTTATCCAGGCAGCATTGTTGGGGAAGATCAGTGATAAGATGTTGAACCTCGCAGTGGGACTTGACAATTGTTGATCCCTCCTCTGTCCTTGGAATGTTCATTCTGCGGGCCTTCCAGGCTCCCAGAAGCTGCCCCAAGGATATATATAGCCTTCAGAGAAATGTGTTGAAACTTGAGGAAGGTACACTGGCATACCCCCCTCTGCTTTATTGTGGGTTGTTTTTTTTTTTGGTGTGTGTGTTTACAAATTTAAGGCAAAGACCCCCCCCCCCAGCAAAAAACAAACAAACAAAAAAACCCACAACAACAAAAAACAAAACAAAAAACATAACTTCTTTTATTGTAATACCTGGAACCGAACCTGAAATATCTCTGAGGTATATCTGTATGTGACTAAACCCAGCTTAAGGCTTCTGTACAAGCTTTTATTTGGCCGGCCAGCAGGTGTGGAAAACTATTCCTCTTGCAGCCTCCCAAGAAAAGCTGCATAGGTAAGTTCCATTGCCACTAAAAAGGCCACTTACTAATCTGATGGGCCTGCCACTTTCTGGGGTTTCTCCCAGCCTTGCTCTACTGGGGCGGTTTCAGATTACACTCAGGTTGCTCCAGGCCAGTTATTGGGCCAACAAGCCTCAACACTTGGCTTCCATATACAGGCGTACCTTGGAGACACTGCGAATCTGGTTCCAAAGTGCCGCAATAAAGAGTCCTAATGTTTTTGAGCAATAAAGGAAGGTGCAACGAAGTGAGGTATGCCTGTACAAATTTCCTTCAGGTCAACCTTTCAGCCACAGGCCACACTCCTGGGAGAGAGGGTGGGGAGATCACTGAGACTCCATAGTCCTAAACTTCCTCAAATTACAGTCAAGGAACCCTGTGACCAAAAAAAAAAAAAAAAGAAAGAAAAAAGTCCTCTCTCCTACTCACTGCAGCTGTGTTTGCTGCTAGCACCATTAGAAGTAGGGCAGCAGCGCACAGAAGGGTTTGAACGGAACAGGATGGTAAATTGAGAAAGTTCCTCGCTCGGTAATCCGGCAGAAACTGAGAGGCCAGAGAATTTAGGACCGTGGCAGGGTTCCCACCCCAGGAGGGGTCATACTGAGAAAGTTCAGGGCTAGTCGCCATCGAGCCAATTCGCTGGGAATGAAAAAGCAGCAGCGACAGCAGGAAGCTCTCCCTCTGGCTCAGATGCTCCCGCTGAGAACCTGTACCCCTCCGAGCACACGGAGAGGCGAAGGGAAGGGCTCCGGTACCTGACACAGGAATCCGGGTCTTCCTCGCAGTCCGTGTTGCACATGAAGCGCTCCCAGTGCAGCCAGCCCATGGTGGGGGTCATGGCCAAGCCGTTGTCCAGGGCCCAGGCCCCGGAGATCTCCCGGAGCACCAGGGCCCGGAAGCTAAGCGCCAGCACGCAGCCCAGCCGCCGGAGCGGTCCACTAGTCAGCCTCATCCTCGGTGTAACCAGGCGTAACTCATTTCCGCGGTAAACTGGGCTTTTAAGTTTAACCTTAGGGGCGGGCCAATCACTGGAGAGTTACGTCATGACGTTGTTGTTTCTGGGGCAACTGGGACGGTTATCCCCAGAGACGGACCAATGACCAGTCACGTAAGACGCGCCGCAACCAATCACGCTCTTTCTTCCTAAGCATAGGCCCGCCCTATTCCCTCGTCGGAAGGAAGTGTGCTCTTCAGTGATCCGGAGTTTGAAGCGGAGTCACTCACGTGACCTAGATCTCACATGACGTAGGAGCTCACGTGATCATTCGCTTACGTGAGCAGAAGTAGTTCGGCCGTCGTCTGCCGTCTCGCTACAGCCGTTTGAGGGCTGGAGGAACATCGTCCGGCATCTTTGGAGGTTGGTGTGTGGGTGGGAAGTGGGGGCCCGGGGGTGGCGGTAATGAAGACCGAAGCGGGGGTCCGCCGGCCGCCGTCTCCTTTTTCGCTCCTCGCGTTCTCCTCCCCCGCCCCCCACTCCCCCATCTCAGTGCCGGGAAGCCGCCTTCGCTGCGCCTGGTGGGGAAATGGTGGACGTTCGTGACTGTGTGTGGTTTTTGTATCTCTCTGTCCGGGCGGGTCTCAGGGGAGCCCTTGAGAGAAACCTGACGGAGAAAAACGTTTGAAAACCACATCCGTAGATTAGGGAAAAAATAACATATTGAGACTAGTGGTCCGAGTGCTCGTCCATCCTTTCAGTGTAGGGAGAGGCACCAAGTCAGTTTATATGTAAAATCACATCTAGGTAACTGTTACGTGCCTAACGGAGGAGCCCAATAAATGTTTTTACTGAGTTGAGTATTTAAATAACGTGTTTGTTTTTTTTGCTTATAACAATTTACTTGTTCAATTTTGAACATTCGAAAAATAACAAAATAAAGGTTTTTTAGTCCTATAAGTTTTTAAAAATACTTGTAATTTATTACCCAGAGATAACTACTCAGCACTTGGTGTATAAAAAGTATGGGATAAGACACATATAAATACACAAATTCTTAACTCCCAAATGGAATCCTGGTACCTACTGCGTGCAATGGAGTATTAGCGACCTACCCGGGTGATACGTTAATGAAGTAGAACTTTCCTGATGCCACTACAGAGGGAATTAAGGCCTAGAGTGCTGCAAGGACATTAAATGGGGCGGGTGTTCCAAGAGTTAAGACAGGCCAAAAACTAGTTCAAAATATCTATCGCTCGAATCTAAAATTGGTTTATATGACGACTGTTAACCACCGCAGCTGCGCTGTGCAAGGCATATATTGGGTAGTTAGTGTTTGTTGAATTGAATCCTCTAGTTTTATGGTAGTTAGTACACTTTGTACTTTTCTAGAGGCCCAGTGTTCCCAGACCATGTCAGATAAGCCACCCACGTACCAAATCAGAAACTTATAAAATTTGCTATACCAAATCCCAGAAAAGCAAACATTTTTGCTGAATTACAATAATTACTCTAGAAAATTAAGAATGCACCAAAATTTTTTAAAAATATATATTTTATTGATTTTTTTTAAAGAGAAGAAGGGAGAGGGATAGAGAGTTAGAAACATGGATGAGAGAGAAACATCGACCAGCTGCCTCCTGCACACTCCCTACTGGGGATGTGCCTGCAACCAAGGTACATGCCCTTGACCAGAATCGAACCTGGGGCCTTTCAGTCCCCAGGCCAAAGCTCTATCCACTGAGCCAAACCAGTTAGGACATGCACCAAAATTTTTAAAAATGAAATTGAAAAAGCTATAAACCTACCACTTCGAAACCACTGTTAACAATTGACACATTTCCCATGCATATATTTTTCCTAACATTGCTTTTTAAATTCCAATTACAATGATTTAAAAAAATTAAACCTATGTAGTGGTATATAGGATATGGGATATGAAGTGGAAATCCACTCAACTCTTCCTATCCTCCAGTTCTTCCCCCCCCCAAAAAAAGTTTGTTTTATATGCTTCCAGATCTTCCTCTATGCATTTACAAACATAAATACATGCGTGCTTATATTTTCAAATAAGAAGGATCATACTATGCATATTTTTATTTGATATATTTTGGAAATCTTAGGCCAGGGCAGATCTTTTTAAAAACTTCATAGCATCCACTTTAAGGATAAAGTATACTTTATTCATCTGTCCCCCTATTGATGGATAGTTAGGTTTCTAATTTTCTGCAATTACTAACTGCTGCAGTGAACATTTATTTGTATTTCAGTTGACCAGGCTCTGGAAGGAGTTCTAGCAGGGTTGAAGAACATATGTTTTTTACATAGTTGAGATTATAAAGTAGCTGTGATCTTGGGTCACTTAAGATTATAGCAGAGTAATTTCTCATCTAATTAAATATTTTTATAATTTTAAAAAATTGCGTAATAGTCTTTCTTAATGAAATACCTTTCAGTGAATATATAGCTCCATAAATCTTTGTCTGAATTTCAGATCATCCCCTTATGGTACATAACCTAGAGTGGATTTAACTTTCACTCTTCTGGGTGTTTGTTAGTTTGTGAACCATGAATATCAGCATTGATTTATCCTCACTGGTTAGTTTTCACTATCTTGATGGATGAAAAGTGGCAATTAATTCTGGTTTGAAGGTGACTTTCTGGTGATTGGTGGAGTTTGAACATTTCCTAGTTCCCTGTCCTGAATCCTCGTAATCTCCTTTCTGCTATATTTAATCTGTTATTAAGTTCCACAGAGTCCACTGCTTTGAATACATAGATCATGTCTTCCCTTTTTTAAATTGCTGATGTCTTAGGTCAGGGGTAGGTTTTTTCTGCATTTGGATAATTATAACATAATTCGTGGCCATACAAAATTATAAGCTTAAAAATTAGCCTGCTATATTTGGTAAAACATTTAATTAATTCACCCCTAATGCATTGGCAGGGCCAGACCAAATGATTTCGGCCCTTGTACGGCCTGCCAGATGTTTCCCACCCCTGTCTTAGGTGAATCCTTAACACATCTCTAGGAGATCAGGGTTCTCACTGAACTTGCTAGTGTCATCTCTGTTTGAGTGCTACACTGTTTTTAGGTGATCTATCTGGAATGGGTCTGAAGATGTCACTTCCCTCTCCTCACTCCTATCCCTTCACTCCCCTTCCCCTGGCTTCTGTCTCCTCACTCCCTTCTCCCCTCACTCCACTCCCTTCACTCCCCTTGTTAAAGGCCCTTAACATTTGTCAAATAAGGCCCTTGGGACCTGATCTCTATCTTGCCAGCCTTATCTCATGCCTTGCCTCTTCCTATTTTATTCTCTATCATATTTTTAAAATTGGTTTATGGATCCCTGAACCAGTTAGTCTGTTTCATTTAACTGTTCAGTGCCAACTGATAGAATTGACCAACCATGCTCTGCTTTAATACCTTTTGACCCTGCACATAATTCTGACATAGCAGAGATAATATGTTTATTTGCCCTTTTGTTTTTAATAAAGGCATATAGTACCCCTGTAGGACCATAAGTCCTTTTTGAGATTATTGATCCTTGATGCCAGAGCCAAGTCCTGGACCTGGCAGCTGAAAAATGGAAAACAAATGTGTGAATTCCCAATAATGTCTTTTTTCCATTTATCTCTTAGGCCTTAATATTTCCCTTATTTTATTAATTTGTGTGAGTTCTTTACATAAGGGTATTAATACATTTGTTGCAGTTACCTTCTCAAGTGTATTGTCTGTCTTTTAATTCTGTTTAATCTTTTGATGTAATGAAGTTTTTCATTTTTATGTAATCTTATTTAGCCATTTTTTAATTTGCTGACATCTTCCACTGATTTTGTTGATGTTAATTTTTTCCTTTTTTTTCTTTAGACTATGATGTTAATATATAGTCAATGTAGAGATCATAGAACATACAAAATTTCCAAAGAAAATATTTCCTGAAACAAAAAAACTCCCATAATTCTGTCATCTAGAAATAAGCAGCAGTGATGATACCCAACATATAATAGTTATCAGGTGTCAAAAAATTGTTGAATGAATTAGAAATTTGGTGTAGTCCTTTTATTTATGTGAATGTCTTACCCAAAATGCTACCAGTGTATTTGGATTTTGTATTAATTTTTTTTTCTCTTACTGTATTGTGAACATTTTTCCATGATAATCTTCTAATTTTTTTCAGCTACACTGAAAAAAGCTACACCGAGCTTGCCACCAAGAGCCTAACAGTCACCATGATGCTGAGCACGGAAGGCAGGGAAGGTTTCGTGGTGAAGGTCAGGGGCCTACCCTGGTCCTGCTCTGCTGATGAAGTGATGCGCTTCTTCTCTGATTGCAAAATCCAAAACGGCACATCAGGTATTCGTTTCATCTACACCAGAGAAGGCAGACCGAGTGGTGAAGCATTTGTCGAACTTGAATCTGAAGATGAAGTGAAATTGGCTTTGAAGAAGGACAGAGAAACCATGGGACACAGATATGTTGAAGTATTCAAGTCCAACAGTGTTGAAATGGATTGGGTGTTGAAGCATACAGGTCCGAATAGTCCTGATACTGCCAATGATGGCTTCGTCCGCCTTAGAGGACTCCCATTTGGCTGTAGCAAGGAGGAGATTGTTCAGTTTTTTTCAGGGTTGGAAATTGTGCCAAATGGGATGACACTGCCTGTGGACTTTCAAGGGCGGAGCACGGGGGAGGCCTTTGTGCAGTTTGCTTCGCAGGAGATAGCTGAAAAGGCCTTAAAGAAACACAAGGAAAGAATAGGGCACAGGTACATTGAAATCTTTAAGAGTAGCCGAGCTGAAGTCCGAACCCATTATGACCCCCCTCGAAAGCTCATGGCTATGCAGCGACCTGGTCCCTATGATAGGCCAGGGACTGGCAGAGGGTATAATAGCATTGGCAGGGGGGCTGGGTTTGAAAGGATGAGACGGGGTGCCTATGGTGGAGGGTATGGAGGCTATGATGATTATGGTGGCTATAACGATGGGTATGGCTTTGGATCTGATAGATTTGGAAGAGACCTCAATTACTGTTTTTCAGGAATGTCTGATCATAGATATGGAGATGGTGGGTCCAGTTTCCAGAGCACCACCGGGCACTGTGTACACATGAGGGGCTTACCTTACAGAGCCACTGAGAATGATATTTACAATTTTTTCTCACCTCTTAACCCCATGAGAGTACACATTGAAATTGGACCCGATGGCAGAGTTACTGGTGAGGCAGATGTTGAATTTGCTACCCATGAAGATGCTGTGGCAGCTATGGCAAAAGACAAGGCCAATATGCAGCACAGATATGTGGAGCTCTTCTTGAATTCTACTGCAGGAACGAGTGGGGGGGCTTATGATCACAGCTATGTAGAACTCTTCTTGAATTCTACAGCAGGGGCAAGTAGTGGTGCTTATGGTAGCCAAATGATGGGAGGGATGGGCTTATCCAACCAGTCTAGTTATGGGGGTCCTGCTAGCCAGCAGCTGAGTGGTGGTTATGGAGGTGGTTATGGTGGTCAGAGCAGTATGAGTGGATATGACCAAGTTCTGCAGGAAAACTCAAGTGACTATCAGTCAAACCTTGCATAAGTAGAGAAGAGCATTAAACAGCTACTACAGAAGTGAAAGCTGTGCATTTATGGGAGTTGAATAGAATGGGAGGGCTGTTTAGTATACCCAATATGGTAAATGGGAAATAGAATCTGATCACTCTAGGTCAATTTCTTTCTTTTTTTCCTTCTTTCTCTTTTTTTTAAGAAAACAAATGTTACGTTTAACATTTTTGCATTACAGGATTGTGATTTATGCTTACTGTAAAATGGGAGTCAGGATTGTTTTCAGACTTTAAGCTCAGTAATTTTGAACACTGAAACGTTCAGTATTGACCATAACTGTTAAAACGATTTTCAGCTTTCCTCAAGTTAGTTTATGTTGTAGGAGTGTACCTAAGCAGTAAGCATATTTAGGTTAAAGCAGTTTCTCCTATGTTAAATGTTGCTCTTATACCACAAGACATTGAAAACTTTGGATGTGTGTTGAGAAACATGCTTTTCTGTAAAACTCAAATATAGGAGCTCTGTCTATAATTCAAAGTTAAAACATTTGGCATGTTTGTTAATTCTAGCTTTTTGGTTTACTATCCTATAAGGCACGTGAGTGAACACTTATTTTTTATTAAGATCTGGGACAATTTTGAGATGTAATACCAATTGATACTTCAGGAGTTGGGTCATGTCATTTGTATAAAATTCTGAAGCTTTGATTTAAATCTTCCCTTGTATTGTGATTTCCATTAGACATATTGTACTAAGTGAAACTTGTTAAATAAATCTTCCTTTTAAAAACTGGAAAAATAATCTTGTGCAGCTTGATTTTTATTATGTTCTGTTATGTGAGCCTTTTCTTTTACATAGTCCTCTGCTGTTGAAGTTTAAGTTATTTTCAAACTTTAAAAATATTATAAACATACATTAGCATCTTCATACATTCTTGCATATATCATTAGTTGTTTTCAAGATATATTCGTACAGATACTGAATCAAAGGTACACACATTTTAAAAGCTTTTATTGGAAAGATTGTGTTTCCCTTAGGAATTATTTTTACCATCATAGCCTTCTAAACGATGCACATTATTCTTGATCTTGGCCAATTTGTTAGTTGGTATTCCATTTCTATTTTAATTTGTACTTCTTTGATTAATATTCAGGTGGAGCAACTTTAAATTGCTTAACTTATTATCAACATGTCCACAGGACTACTGGCCTACTCCAGAGACTACTTGGTTCAAGACAGCATCCTCCAAAATCCAAAGAAGAAAAAGCAAATAATCCTCTTTATTTAACCATAAATAAGATTTAAGGCACTTTTGTATGTTTTGATAAATTTGGCCTATGGTACAGAAGTAATTCAGTCTCATCCATAACTTAATAGTCTCTAAGCACCCTTTAAGGTTTTTCAGAGCATTTAAACCTTGTTTTAAACCAGTAGTTCTCACACTTAAGCATGCAACAGAATCCTTTGTTGGACTTGTTAAATCATTGATTACTGGGCCCCACTCCTAGAGTTTCTGAAATTCTGTAGTTCTGGGGTAGTGCTGAAGAAACTGCCAATGCTGCAGGTTTTGTGACCCATGACAGCTCTCTACAAGGTTTATCTGAACCTAAAACAGCATCTGGAAGGAGCAGTTTCCTTCATGATCCCTGATTGCCTTCCCTTTTTCCTATAACAAGTAGTTTAAACTTTTGTGTTAAAGTACACTTTGCATATGCTTATTAACAACACCTCTGATACCTGTTTATTTTAAATTTCTGGCCATTAACAATTATGATGATCTAAAGGCCTGGATGCCCTTGGGTCAGTACTAGCTGTTCCTGAACTACATAGCTCTGTACAGTGGTTGGCAAACTCATTAGTCAACAGAGCCAAATATCAACAATACAATGATTGAAATTTCTTTTGAGAGCCAATTTTTTTAAACTTAAACTATATAGGTGGGTACATGGTTATTAATTTAATTAGGGTACTCCTAAGCTGACCTTTGCTGAAAACTCAAGGGGCTAAAGAGCCGCAGTTTGCCGACCACTGTCTTTGTTATATGTGACCAGACTGCAAATGGATTGTTATCCTTGGTATATTTAGAGCTTGGGACCCAGAGAAACACTTGGAGAGGGAAAGTAAATATCAAGTTGGTATTGTCTAACTACTTTAAGGACATTTTTTTATTGAGCACCATTCCTAGAAAATCATACTGAGGATACAGTTGGAGGTGATTTGAGATTCTTTGATGACTTCCAATTGTGTCAGCAGCAAGAAAGCAAGAAATCCATTTTGACTCATACCATAATGAGCCAATCATTAATTTCACCTCAGCCTGCAGAAAGCCTTTCTCAGAGGGTTCACAAGTAGGTGTTTTGCTTTCCAGGCTGCTCAGTTAATTTTCCAGAACGTTCTCTAAATGTGAGCAAAGAGTCTCCAATTAGCCAGTAGATGTCGCCAACTGTCAGGAAATGTTCTGTTATGTGAGCCTTTTCTTTTACACAGTCCTCTGCTGTTGAGCCTTTGCTGAGAGCTAAGGTGTTTGCTTCCTAGGCTGGATAAGAAAACAGAAGGTGCCAGGCTGTGTGAGGAGGGATCAGGCAAAAACAACAACAAAACAACCTCATAGACACAGACAACAGTATGGTGATTACCAGAGGGAAAGAGGGGGGGGGGGTGGTAGAAGAGGGCGTGTGGAGGGGATAAATGGTGATAGCGACTTGACGTGGGGTGGTGAACACACAGTATACAGTTGATGTACCCTTGAAATATATGTTATTAACCAACTAGAAGCCTGATGCATGAAATTCGTGCAAGAGGCTTGGCCCTCACGGCCCTAGCTGCTCGGGCCAGCCCTCACAGCCCCTTGCAGCCCTGGCCAGCCCTAGCAGCCCTGGCTTTATTCTGAAGATCATTTGGCTGTCTGGTCTCATTAGCATATTAGCTCTTTATTATATAGTATGTCACCCAAATAAACTAAAAAGAAGTTAAAAGAGAGAGAGAGGGGGGCTTGGGGAAGCAGTCAAGAGAGAGACCCTGGAAGATCAGCAGTCAGCACTAGAGGTATGGAAAGGGACAGTAGTTCGTTTCAGAGTGACAATACAGATGGGCTTGCAAACACATAAACACACACCCACACACCATCTCTAATTCTCTCAAATCCAACACTCATACTACCCAGCAGAGCTTTCTTGAAGGTAAAGTGGGCAACACACCCATACCCACCAGCCACCAACTCAAGGGTTTGTTTTAGACTGCTCCCAGGAGCTAGTTGGTAGGATCAGGCTTAAAGTTTGCAGCTACAACTTTCATGGTCTAAAAGGGTCGCCACTGATGACTTAATGCCAGTGGTTTTCAGAGTGAGTTTCCTGGGCCAACAGCATCAGCATAACATGGAACTTGTTGGAAATGCAAAGTCTCAGGCCCCACTCCAGACTGACTGAACCAAAAACTTACGGATGGGGCCCAACAATCTGTATTTCAATAAGTTCTCCAGGTGATTTTGATGCTCAGAACCACTAGCTTCTGCATGGATTTTGTTATTCACCCATTTACTTATTCCTGCATTCATTCACCCAACCATAAAGGAGCTCACTAAGCTACCGTGTTTTCCCGAAAATAAGACATCCTCTGAAAATAAGACCTACTCACAGGTTTCCTTCTGAGTGAAATATAAGGCATCCCCCCCCCCCGAAAATAAGGCCCCCGTAGGCTAAACATGAGAGATTTGGTCCACTAATTCTGAAAGAAATGGAGTCACAAGAAATTCACCAGGAAATCCAGGAATTGGATTGTTATGATGATGTTCCAGAAGATGATGACATGATTGTCATTGAATAAATGAGTAAATTTTTGATACTGTAGGATTCACAGTTTGTCTGGTTTGTGTTGACAAGTACCATACTACCGTACTGTATAGGTAATAAATTTCCTTTATTTTCATTTAACAATAAATGTGTACCGTATTCTTCTTCATGGAAAAATAAGACATCCCCTGAAAATAAGACCTAGCACATCTTTGGGAGCAAAAAATTAATATAAGACACTGTCTTATTTTTGGGGAAACAGGGTAGTCTCATCCTATCTGTAAGCATGGCACATTTTCTGTACCCCTCCGCCCAGCAAATTAATGTGAAATGCATTGCAAATTCCTTTACAAATCAAGGGAGAATTCCTAAGCTGCCAGCAAAAAGGAAGATTACTCCAAGTTGGGCCTAAAGGTGTATTGCAAAAGAATCGCTGATGGAATGAAACCTGAATTGTTCAATAAGTGTTCCCCAGACCCAGGGCAGCCAGAACAGGTGAGAGGAGCCATTTAGAAAAGCTGTGCCTGATACCCAGCTGGGAGAATCACAAGGGCCGTTTTACAACCTGCTCCCACACTGATCAACATTAAGTCTTGTGTGCCAGGACTGGTCTGGCTCAGTGGATAGAGTATTGGCCTGCGGACTGAGGGGTCCTGGGTTGAATTCTGGTCAAGGGCATGTACCTTGGTTGCGGGCACATCCCCAGTGGGGGGTGTGCAGGAGGCAGCTGATCGATGTCTCTCTCTCATGGATGTTTCTGACTCTCTGTCCCCTCCCTTCCTCTCTGTAAAAAATCAATAAAAAATATATTTTAAAAAAACATTAAGTTTTGTGAATGCAAAGCAGGCATATTTCAGGGGTCACCAGGTTAGCACTCCGGAGGGGAGGGGTTCGCTTGTGCCTGGAGCTTGTGTGTGGAAGCCCCTGCCCCCCCGGCAGTGATCTGCCCAGACAGATGCAATGAACACACAGGCCACCACCCACCAGCCCTCTGAAAAGAGAATGTTAGGCTTCTGAAAGAAGAGATGGGTACAGAGAGACAACAGCTGAGAATCACTGTCATTTATTCAGTAATTATTTTCTGAACTATTTATGTATTCCAACACTCTGTCCTACCTATACACTAACTAGGACATTTATCTGCAGATTGTGAGTACTCTTTTCCACTATCCTTTTTTCTTACTCTCTCCCTCCCTCTTCCTGCCTCCCCCCTTCCACTGGGGTTGTTTCTCCTATACTGTATGTC